TCACTTTTCATTATGGATGGCCAATCATATATCTTATATGTTGCTATGATCAATCTCTTTTCGCCAAATGCATTGGTACAAACAAGCTGGGATACTCTCGACCTCAATGTAGTATGTCACAAAAGATGAGCAATCCAACAAAATAAGGCGGGGTAAATTTTTATACTTCACATTTGATGGAGACTGTTCACTTGCAGTGTTACGTGTGGGACATCTAGTAGGCCTGTAACTCCTTCTGGGACCAACCAGTAATGCCTTGCGTCTATTGTGTCTCCTCATTTGAAATCTGTGCATTCTATGTTTAGCATTTTTGGCCATGAATGCAATGCACTCCTTCTGTATTGCTACTGTGTAAGTTGGACTCAAGTTGTACCTTATGATTTCAGGATACTTGGATAACACGGTGCCCACTGCTTTTACTTGATACCCGAATGCCATATGGAATTCTAAACGTTGATTGTGTGGAGCATTTAGACCCTGCTGGCACCGGATCATTTTATAATGACGGAGAAGCAGAAATAGTTACACAACATGTTCTCAATCTTGTGCATTGTGGTATATACTTATCTTTTGCTTCCTTAATTGAACACCGCATCAGTATTGTATAATCTTTGTTGCATAATCCTTCGATCCTTAGTATTGTTTACTTTAAAACATCAGGATAATTATTCAGCATTTCTCATTCACTGGTCAACCATGGCCCTAACTTTTCACGCTCAAATTTTTGAACATACGAACATATTACAATCATGACTGCAGGAGTGTCTCCAAATGAGATAGCCATCCAGTCACCCTACATTGCTCAAGTTCAATTATTAAGAGAGAAGTTAGAAGAATATCCGGAGCTTTCTGGGGTTGAGGTTTCAACAGTAGATAGCTTTCAAGGGAGGGAGGCAGATGCGGTGGTCCTATCAATGGTAAGCACTGCACGGAACCATACATCTTTCTGATGAATATGTCACCCAAATACAACACTGAAAGAAGCAATTGACATTTATAAGGGCAGTCGCCGATTGGGCCACAATCATTTCATACTCCATGATTTAACCTACTTCTAGTGATGTTTATCCTTCTGCTGGCTTATAGGTTCGGTCAAACCCACTGGGAGCTGTAGGGTTCATGGGCGACAGCAGGCTAATGAATGTGGCTATCACAAGGGCACGCCGGCATGTCACTGTGGTATGTGACACCTCGACCATTTGCCACAGCACCTTCCTTGCCCGGCTCCTCCGTCATATCAGGCGGTATGGACAAGTAAAACATGTTGCACCTGGTTCCCTAGATGGGGTCTCCGGACTCGGCTTCAGCCAACCCACTCTCCCGTCTATCAGCTAGCGCTCCCCGCAGTTCACTGTCTTGATGGCATAATTCATTCATATGCTCATATGAGCATGTATATATGCGAAGAGCTAAAGGATGTATATACAGTCATGCGAAAAAACTGAAGGCTGAGAAACTATAATGCCCGTCTCAGACGTGCCTGTCTGGTATCAATCTGTGAAGAAGACGAAGAACTCGAGAAGATATGAAGAGAAATTGGTGGATAGACATGGAAGAGCTTCGCCAGGTGTGTGGTTATCTTGAGATGACCACACACCTGTGCCATGTGGTTCGCCAGGTGTGTGGTTGATATGAAGCATGGCCATTCGTTGGACCTAACTGAAGGCTTAGCTGATCATGCATCCCTGAATTGGTGCACGTGATTCATTCAGCAGAAGGAAGACTACCTCACTTCCTGTAAATTCTAACTAATATTGTTGACATGGATACCCCAACACAGACGTGTAGTAAATTGACAATTCACAATTGAGTTGGAAAAAGAATGCATTTCATCTCGAAGTTAAATGACACAATATCAAGTTACAGGCGCGTTTCTCTTAATCCCTGGAAAGAAAAAGAAAAAAACAGGTGTGTCTCTTTCTTTCCCTTATCATGGTTGTTGGAGTGTGTTGTAACATCCGCATCATGTAATATTATGGATGACGTATAATCATGTCCTACTCCTTTTCGTAGCAAAAATAATTACTAGATAACCCCAACATGCACAAATAGACTACTCTTGTACTAGTGTTCCGTATGCAACTGCAACCTACCTATGTTTCGCTGTTTTCGCTATCTGATTATTGAAATTGGCACCATTGATGCTTAACACGTGTCTACTATGCCACAAAACGTTTTTCACACTGCTATGTCACAAAAACTTAAATCTAAAACCAAACACATAAAACATGAAACATGGTGTGTGTCCTTCATAAAAAAACTTGGGCATATATTGCCTGGCCTGTACATCATAGATGCACACATGCCATGTTTATTACAACCTCTGTACGCTAATATATGATGTTTTTGAGGTTCAATTTGAACAGCAAAAACGTTTTACATTGTTTACAAAGGGAGCGCATCAAAACAATCCAAGGATTGCTAAGCAAAGAGTGACACACTACACGTTAAAAGAGTTGGACCGCAAATAGTCTATTACATGCTCGCTACCCTAGTCGGGACATAAACTTGTGCGCGTTCCAATCTCCTGATGCCAACCTCCATTGCTCCCCATGTTGTAACCATGGCCACAACAAATTGATGCATGAGAATGATACCTGCGTAAGAGAATGAACGGTCAAGTTTATGGAGTTTGGCATAAAATAACACCATTTCTACATAGCCAAATAGACATGTGAAAGGGGGAGGCTGGATAGACATTTTTTTAAACGAAGTTCATTTTTTTCAACAAGTTTAATGTAGGCTTGCCTATAAAACACTAGCGTGTAAATTGAACTAGTGGAAGTCCTAACACATGATGTTTTTTTTTTTGAACGGTCACCGGGAGGGAGAGGATCGCCACCTGAATATATTGCTCAAAAAGCTGCCAAAGCCAAGAGTCTCCCCTTAAGCTTTGTCTGATCCAGTTTATAAGGAAAACCGGATCGAAAACCTAAACAAGTTGGCCTCTTTTATGAGGAAAACCGGGCCGAAAACCGTACATTTAACAAGGTTACAAAAGAAGAGAAAAAAATGACGCCCAAAAGAAGGCACAACCTAGCTGGCAGGCAGAAAGACCAACACCATGATGGACACAAGTAGATGTGGGATGCTGTCGAGGGATCACAATACCAAGACTCGACAAACAACCTAATGCACCACACCGGTGTGCGTACTGAGCCCCACGGCACAACAGAGGATCATCCATAATCAACGAGTGCCAAACCTTAACACGAACCTTGACTGGGAGATCCGCCACGGGCGGTCGAGACGATTAGCTGGTTGGGGAGGCATCATTGCGTCGTCATTGAGCAAAAGTGAACCGAGACAACACCAAGAGCCCGAAGCTCGCCGCAGCACAACGGCAACCATGGGAGGGTCTTGAGCATGATAGCAACAGGACAGAGAACACGCGAAGGACAGCCGAAGAGAAAACACATGAAGAAGAACACACCAACATGGACTTAACACATGATGTAATTCCTAAAGTTCAGATTGTTGGCACAATATGTCGTTGGAGAAGATCTAGACACCAAGTCCTAAGAGTTCTGGCCCCTAGGCCAACCTATTCCTTCTTGAGCTAGGACACAAAGTCCGTACTCAATCACTAGGGTAGATTTACACACGAAGTAGGCGATTTCCGGCCTTACAGACTTCTTGGCTCCTTCATAATTCAAAGACTTCCAAGCGACGCCTATTGGTCTAGGAGGGGTACACCATCCAAGAGTAACACATTGAACAACTGACTTGGAATGAACAGTTGCCAGAGATCGGCTCAAGAGCCCCCTTATATCTCACGAGTTTTCCACTCAAAGGATAAGCACCCGGTAAAGAGAATTTGAGAAGCCAGATGGGAATACAACGTTCCCGAAAGTATGGCAATGAGGTGCAGAGGTACCGGGCTGTCTAGACACCTCAAGAACCAGTGTTACTTGGAAGATACATGGTATGGAGAGTTAATTGCACAGAAGTACCACAATTCAGGCATCACATGCAGATTGGTACCACGATTGCTAATTTTTGCGTGTCAGTATCAATATTGGTCCAAATTTTTGCAAATTGGACTAAAACGCGTATTTATACGTATTGACGCCCGATCCGACAGGTCGGGCCCACCCGTCAGGTGCCACGCTGGCCAATCGGCGCGTGCCCGCGTGCTGACTAGGACGAGCCGGTGCGCTGCTGTCCTAACCGGCCCGGTCGCACCAACTCCAGCCCGGCCGCACCATTCCCCTCCCCCTCCTCCTCGCTCGTTTCCTCCATCGCCGCCGACCGCGTCCCGACAGCCGGCCGGCCGCCGCACCGCCCCGCCGTCGCCATGGTTTTGGAGGACGAAAGCAGCGACGACCATTCTAGCCCCCCGTACATGCATTCTTCCTCCACAGACGGTCTCAGCGAGGTCAGTACAGGGTTAGGGTTAGGGTTTCATATTTGGGATTTCTTGATTTGGTTGATTTCGCTAGGTTTTGATTTGGCCATTGTCTTTGTGCGAGCTTCTGCAGGTTCCTTTCACCATTGAAGATCCAGGTTACAAGGGGCTTGAGCTGGATGTGATGTCTCCATGTGAGAAGCACGGCATGGCATCTGAGAGGCTTGTTGCCTTTGAAGGAACAGACACAGGCAGGAGGTTTTTAGCATGTGCACAGCCGGTATGTATTGTAGGATTGTAGGCATACTGATTTTTTTCTTACTTGGTCAGTGCCATATTGAACTCTGTTTGCTGGAGTATTCTGCTTGGTGTCAACATTTTGATTCATAGTGGTTAGAGTAGCTTATTTAGGTCAAGCATGAGTATATTTTGCATTAGAACAATGGCTGAACCTAGTTAGTCAGCTACTCAAGTGGTTGCTCCTCTTGTTAAATTTAGTGGTCTGATGCTAAATTTAGACATTCTTTTTGGCAACTGTAGTGATTTTGTGTAATTACTTGCTGTATGAACTGTTTTGTTGTTGTTATTGTTTTTGCAGGAAGGTAGCAATTGTGGCTTTGTTGAATGGGTTGATCACCAGTGGCTCCCAACAATGCAGAATGCATTGTTGAAGCTATGGGCAATGGTTGAAGATGCCAAAAGTGCTAGGGTGAATGGCAATCTTGAGAATTCTTTCACTATCCACCATCTGACAGAAGAGAAGAACAAGCTGGAGGCCAACTATGACAAGCTAGTCCAAGATGTGCATGAGCTGATGAACTTCCAGGAAGATAAGGTGGTGGATTTCAGGCATCTGCAGTCTGCCATTACATATCAGCAGGAGGTAAGAAAAGAACTAACTGATGATATGAAGGCAAAGATGGCAACTGAGATGGCAAAGAAAGATGCAGAGACCCAGCAACTTACTCAGAAGTATGAGGTGCTGCTCAACCTGACAAGAGCTCAAGCAACAGTCATTCAGAACTTGAAGTTGAACAAAATGAAAGAGAAGCAAGTGCTTACTGAAGCTAGTATGAATTTGGAGCTGAAGAATGCAGAGCTAACTAAGTGTCAGGAGAAGCTCACCCAAGAGAAGCTAGAGTTGAAGCTTCAGGTTGCTGATCTGCTTAAGGGAAATAAAAAGCGTATTGAAGAGAAGTGGCAGTTAGAGTTTCAGAATGAAAAGTTGAAGGAGAAGTTCAGGGGGATTCAAGCCATCTTGGAGAAGTGAAGAAGATGAAATGAGATTAGTGGCATTGCTGACATTTTGGGAATGATGGTTGTGTAATGACCTAGCATCTAGGAACTAATGTTGTGTACTGTATGCTTGTACTAATGGTGAACTATGGCTGTGTATGTAGTAGTTATGCTATTCATCCTTTTATGAGAAAAGGATGAACTATGCATTTGAAGTGGAACTCCTCTATGTATTGTGAACAATGGTTATGTATTGCTATGTATGGATCAGTTTCTTATTATGTATGGTTATGTATTGCTATGGTTATGCTGATTATGTAGATTGTACATTATGACAATGTTGCAGCAAACCAGACAGTACATTGCAATAAAAGAGGAACAAGACTCACTAAATCTCATTGCATCAGAAGATAACTTCACTGATCCATTACAACTTGATCCATTACAACTTGGCTACAACTGAAGCAACTAACTAACTTAATATCTTGCCTGCAACTAAGCCAAGCACAAATATAGTGAAAAGAAACAACACATTGTGAAATTTGGCCCTAATCCCTGCAATCTCTGCATTCTTCTCTCTGAGTTGAGTTTGCAGAGACAGAAACATGGCCTCCCTTGTGCCATCATCTTCACTTGGAGTCAGGATTGGAAATTGATCTTCAGATCTAGCAACAGTTGCACCTTTAAGCCTCCATACTTCATCACGCAGATCCCCAATGAGCTCACTCCAGAATGTGGGCAATGGATCATCATGCCATTGCACAAATCCACAGCCACCGTGCTATTAAGATACACAAGCAAATTCACCATGCTGCCAAAAATTATTGCACAGAAGAAAGAGGAAGAAAATTAGGGAAAAACAGCACTCACCATAGCATCCACGCAGCTGTAGTACCTCCTACCAGGGTTCTGCCTGCTCCAGGAGATCCATCTTGGCGCCTTCCTCGGAGTTGAACAGTGGCACATCACCGGAGGCTCGTATGCCATTGGGTTCTCGCGGTAGCGCACCGGCGAGCGCGACTCCTCCCCCCTCCTTCCTGCAGCTCGACGAAATCCGGGAGCGGACCCGGCACTGGATGACCACGACATCTCCGCCGCCGGCCCCAGTCAGCGCCTCTGAGATTTCTCCTTGGCTGCGCGGATGAACCCTAGTTTCGTCCCCACACTCCTCTGAGATCTTGTGCTGTCACACTTTAATAGTAGGAAAGGTGGATGGCCCACATGTCAGAATCCCCAAATGTGGTACTGCATGTTATGTGATGCCCCAATATTGGTACTGACATGCAAAAGCTAGCAGCAGAATTGGTATGATTTGTCACAATTATCTGCAAATGTGGTACTGATTTGTCACAATCAACTCACATTACCAGCATCCAGTAGCAAGTTCAGATAACCAACTAAAGTTCAACATTCAGATAATCACCTAAAGTTCAACCACATATCCATCCAGTTCAACATTACAAGCATCAAGTTCAACATTACTAGAGTACTCCACCAGTACTCCACCTCAAGTATCAAGTTTAACCAAAATAACACCACAATATTTCACATTACATGGCTCCTCCACCTCCCATGCTAGCAGTAAAGTAGGACATCCATCCAGTGTGTGTGCCATCAGTAGGAATGTCAGCATATTGCCTTGGGGCAATGAATGGCATTGGAGCACCTCTTCCAGCTCTTCCTCTGCCTCTTCCAGCTCTTCCAGATGGTGGTGGTGTAGTAGAAGTAGCAGCTCCTCTTCCTCTGCCAGCTCCTCTTCCTCTTCCAGATGGTGGTGTTGTAGTAGAAGTAGCAGCTCCTCTTCCTCTGCCAGCTCCTCTTCCTCTGCCAGATGGTGGTGTTGTAGTAGAAGTAGCACCAGCTCCTCTGCCAGCTCCTCTTCTTCCAGATGATGGTGGTGTAGGAGCAGAAGCAGCAGGTCTTGGTTGTCTTCCAGATGATGGTGGTGTAGGAGCATTAGCCTTGCAAAGAAAAGGAAACAGTTAATAATGCTAGAAAGAAATGTACAAGAAAGAAAACATTAGTATATTTGAAGGTGAAAAATTATTACCACATGCTTATTCTTCCTCAAAGCTAGCTCAGGCTTCAACTGTTTAAGACAGTTTGTGTACCTATGCCCTTGGAGACCACAATTGCCACATGTTATGGTCCCCATTCTTGAAGTTTCTTTTGGCTTTGGTACTTCAAATTTGCCCTTGATCCTCTTTTCTTTCCTTCTTCCTCTCTTGATTTTGAATGCAGGTGGTTCTATGTCTGGACCAGGGGTCCTTGTCCAATCATGCTCACCAGGCACAGGAAAGATCATTGGTTCATAAGCTGCAGCATAAAAATCTTTCTTGAAGAATTTGCTGACATAATCCTCTAGTTTCCTTTTAGCCTCGTTTATTGCAGAGATGGCATGGTTGCAAGGTATGCCACTAAGGTCCCACTTCCTGCATCCACAAGTCTCAAGTTCTAGGTTGACAGCATGTGTTTGCTGCCCACTTGTAACTTGCCATAAGTTGAACCCTGCCTGTATTGGCTTGTAGTATCTGGCCCTCTCCTTCTCAATCTCTAGCTTCTCACTGTAATGAGGTGTTATCTCCCATCTTGCTTCCTTTACACTCTCTCTCTTCATGTGCCACCTCACCATCTGCTTATCTTTTATCCCATCACACATTGTCCTTATAGGTTTTCTCCTAACATCTAGAATGTACTTGTTGAACACCTCTGACAAGTTGTTCACTACCAAGTCAGTCTTGCAGTTTGTGTCGAATGCATGCCTTGCCCATGTTTTTTTTGGTATTGCAGTAAGCCACTCCCAAGCTTCCTCACTTTCAGCTCTAAGATCATTCATTGCAATATTAAATTTGTGTTCATTGTAGGCATAGCTAGCATTATCCATGCACTTCTTAAGATCTTCACCCCTAAACGCAGCATTTTGGAAATTTGCATATAAATGTCTAAGGCAGAATCTTTGGTTGCAACTTGGAAACACAGCATTCACTGCATTCAATAACCCCTGACACAAACAATTTAACAAGTCTAAGCTACAAACAATTTGAAAATCTAAGCTAATGCAAACACTTGTTCAAAACAGAATGAAATATGCAAACACATACCTTTTGTCTATCTGACATTATAGTATAAGTTCCAAACTTGCCCACTTCTCCCCCTAGGCAAATTTTCAGTTGGTGTAGAAACCAACACCAACTAAGTGTGTCATCTTGACCAACTATGCCAAATGACAGTGGATATATGTTGTTGTTGCCATCTCTACCAGTGGCAGCAAGTAGTTGAGCACCTGTAGTGAGCTTAATAAAGCATCCATCAACACCTGCATAATCAACATTTCCAAGTGAGATACAATATGGAGTACTCTACAATATGTAAATGGTTCACACAAGGTTCAAGAACTAACCAATGAAAGGCCTACACCCATTGAGAAACCCCTCCCTTGCTCCATTAAGGCAAAAAAACATGGCATGGAATCTTGGGCCTGGGTGGGGTATTTTTGCATTAGGTACTGGAGTAACAGTAGTGACTATTACTCTACTCCCAGGGTTTGTGTCCATGACAGTCTGAGCATAGTCTTTAAGCCTAGGATATTGCTTCCTGTGATCTCCTAACACAGCATCAATAGCTATGTTCTTTTCCCTATATGCCATGCACTTGGGCACATCTACACCATATTTTTCATGGCATGCATCAATTATAGTCTGAATACCAGTAGTTATATCAGATCTAAAGAGATGCTCATATTTCTGTGCTAGCCACTTAGCACTAACCCTGGTGGTCTCAGTGGTACTAGGGCAAGTGTGCTCTAGTCTCATCTTCTTAATTACAAATGTTTTCTCCCCTTTTATAACTGCTGCCACCATTAAGAACTGGCATTTTTTATCTGTACACTCAACAATTATCCTCTCATCTGAATTCCTGTGATACCTGAAATTCCTGGCCTGGGTGATGTGTAAATTCAACAAAGCTTCTCTGAATTGATGCTGATCCCTAAAACACAACTTCATACACAGTTGCTCATGTGGTTGCTCCATTTTCTCATTGTACCACTTCCTAGGAGGCCTTTTCTTTGCCCTACTCTTCCTTTTCTTTTGTAGGACAAAAGAGAGTGGCTGAAAACCATCATCATCACTCTCCCTCAACAACCCCTCCTCTTCTTCATCTGATGATGGTCTGAAATCAGGTTCAACCTCTGGTAGCTCACTACAATGTGACCTAGTGGTTGGGCCTCTTCTAACTGGCAACTTCTGCTTCTTCTTTACAGGTTCAACTATAGTTTCTTCTTCTTGTTCAAAAGTCCTATCTTCCTCTACCTCAAATGGGTCCTCAACTTCAGTGTCACCCTCACAATGCAGCATTTCTTCCTCTTCTGATTGATCATCATCTGATTCTTCCTCTTGTACTTCTAGCTCTCTCTGCCTCTTTCCCTCTTCCACCTCTACATCTTCTTCATCAACCATGTAATTAGGGTCACTTCCAATTTGACCATCCTCATCAGAGGAATCACTGTCCTCATAAGCCTCAAATCCTTGATATCCCTCTTCTTCTTCTTCCAAAACTGCTTTCAACTTGTTAGTTGCATTTCTGCTTTCTTGTGTGCAAACACCAGCAGGAGCAACAGGGTGATGTGTGCTACATTGACTCTCAAAGACTACTCCTTCCTGATCAACAGCTAAGATAGGAGGCTCACTCAGATCATAAACAACAGGCTCTTGGTACACCACAGTGGACAAGTCTGGCTTTTCAAAATGCTGCCTCTCAAAATCAGTATCAGGGGGTGGACAAGCCCTGACTAGCAAATTAAGCACCAATTTGTCCTGGATCTTCCTCTTTATCATCTGTAATTCTGCATGACTGTCTACCAAATCCAGCCCTTTCTCTCCTAAAGATGGATTTTCAATGTGAAACAAACAATCATATGCATTAAATCCTTGGGTTTCCATCACTGCAACCAAATTCAGATAAGTAATATCTGAACCACACAACTTCATCTCCAATGGTTCTGTTGCATCAAAATGGATCCTTACTTGCCAAATG